GACTTCAGCAGGCATGGCTGCTCTTTTAGGAACTTGTGCAGGTACTCCACGGAGTAGACACATTTGTGTGTGTGTTGCCCCACTCACTCCTGCAGGTGTTGAATCACTCCTTGGAGGCGTAGGGTGACTCCTTGGAGGTGTTGTATGCCTTCCAGAAGCTGATCCAATGGACAGGCTGTCTAGCTGTATTCGGACTTTTTCCACATCAGCTGTCTGTATGTTGAGGGGCTGTCCTCCCACTGACTGTAACTCTACTTTGGCTTTCTGTTCTGAAGATGGCCAGTGTTCAGGTCTTGGTTGTAGAGACTGTTGTGGAGGGTGTCTTAGCTGATCAGGTGCTCCCACTGCTCTCGGAACGTCTCCACGGAGGTATTGCCCTACTGCTCTCGGAACATCTTCATGCTGATATGGTTCCGTTGCTTGTGGAATATCTCCTTGGAGATGTGGTTCCATTTGCAATTCATTTGGATCTTGGATCCAAGGGTCAGGATCATCCTCCAATGATTTTTGGTCTGGATAGTGAGCATTCTCTGGAATGAGTCCCTCCCACTGATCTGTGCTAGTGTCTGTGTTTCAGGGAGCAGTGTCATCCTTTTGTACCTTTCCGGATTCATTGAATATGACATGCCGACTGGAAAACACAGTCCGTTTTTCAGTGTCTAGGAGTTTGTAGGCTTGCTTTCCATGTGTGTAGCCAATCATTATGGCTTTGCACCCCTTGGAGTAAAACTTCCCTTGCCTTTTGTCTTTCGGAATCAAGGCATATGTTTGGCATCCTAAAGGGCGAAACAAAGTTGGATCAACTCTCCTTTTAAACAGTATTTCATATGGGGTCTTTCCATGGAGTCCTGATGCTGGGCTGCATGCTGTGATATATGCAGCTGTTTGCATGGCATCTACCCAAAATGACTGGAATCATGGAGCATAGTGGTTGCTAATGTAGCCAATGTCTGATTCATGCGTTCTGCAATGCCATTTTGTTCCGGAGTATCTGCAGCTGTAGTTTCTTGGATGACACCATCTCGTCGGAGTTGATTTTTGAATGCATTGCCAGTATGTTCTCCTCCCCCATCGCTCCGGAGGAATTCTGTGTATAGTGGAGTGAAGTTTTCTTCTCCCAAATGAGTCCGGAAGAATGTTTGGACATCTTCTTTCCATTGCTTGTATCGTTCCAGTGCTTCACTTTTATGTTTTAGGAAAGATATCCATAGAAATTTGGAGAAATCATCTACAATGATAATCCAGTACCGAAAACCCTCCCTGGAAGTTGGTTTGATTGGTCCTCCAACATCTGTGTGCACAATTTGTATGGAGCACTTGGCTCGGTTTCCTCCAGTGGACTTGAAAGGTAATTTCTTCATCTTTCCTAAAGCACAAGGTTCACAAAACTCCGGGGTTCCGGTAAGGGTGTCTATGTCCTGGAGCTGTCTTTTTGTAACCATTCGTTGCAAGCGGTCCATTCCAATGTGTCCCATTCTCCTGTGCAATAAATTTACATCTACTGCTGCAAAAGCTGACTCCGGGTTGATTTCGGGTTTTGCTTGGATGTGATAAAGTCCTCGCTTGTGTAACGCAGTGAGGATAAGTTCCTCCTTTTTCCGAACTTCACAAGCATTTGACCCTGCTGGAAAAAGTGTTGATAACCCCGTTTTGGACAATTTGTGCACAGAGACAAGTGCTAACGTGAAGTTTGGCACAAGTAAGACATTTGACAGTGCAATATTGTAGTCCTTTTTGCCAACAGTTGCTTGTAGGATTACTGTTCCAATGCCAATAGCATTTACAGAGGATTCATCCCCAAAACTGATTGTCCTCGGAGGATGCAGAACATGGTATGTTCCTGGCTCAAACCAGGAGCGGTGAGGGACCATGTGGGATGTTGCTCCGGAGTCAATGATGATTGTTGTTTTGGTCTTATTGGGTTCCGACACAAGGTAAGCTTGAATGCGTTTAGCAAGGGGCTTGGAAATATGTACATGTTCCAATGCAATATGACTCTGTTCCTCCTTGGAGTCAGATCCAGATGATTGCTCCGCCATATTTGCCTTTTCCTTCTCTTTTCCTTTATCCTTGTGTCTTTCCTTTTTCTTCTTCCTTTGACCTTTTTTAACTGACTGAAGTGTTTGACACTCCGAGGTGTTGTGTGATTTGGCTTTGTGGAAGTTACACCATTTCTCCTCGGATTTGAGTGCTGATTCAGAACCTCCAGGGGCCTTCCCTGACTGTTGTGCAACTTCTGCAGTGATCCGGATCTCAACTGCATCAAAGGTAAGTTTATTTTCTTCAATCGTGTTGATTACCGATGACTAAAATATTTGCCATTCCGCAGTGCATGGGAGAGATTGGAGAAGAGTGAAGGCAATAAGTTTGGTATCAACTCCTAGTTTCATTCCAGAGAGGTGTGAATCAATTGTCTGGATTTTTGCAATGTGGTCCTGGATAGGTGATGTCCCATCCCAGGACATTTTGGTGAGTTGCTTGAATGAATAGAAGGCCGAGGCAATGTTGGACGTTTGATGGAGTGAGACAAGTTTATCAAATAACTCCTTGGAGCTGGTGAGGTCTCCAGTCCTCATTAGGAGGGCATCAAAGATGTGGTCCTGGATGATTCCATGTGCCTTCTCATCCTTAAGTATCCAGGTGATCTCAGGATCCTCCGAGGAGGTAGGTTTTCCTGGTGAGGGCTTAAGCTCCTCTCCAGTAACAACCCGGAGAACTTTTTCCCGACGTAGCTTTGAGATGATCCGGAGTTTCCATATCTGAAAATTGTTGGGTCCAGTGAGAACTGGACATGCGGATGTATCACGTGCTGTGGTCATGGTTCCGAGGTTGCCGTTTCAAATAAGAATTATTTCCTGTGTAGCTTTTGCGCACTAGGGCTCATAACCTAATAAAACTAAGTGTAACTCAGCCGCTGCCTGAGAGGCTATAGAAATGACTTTATTATGTACCTATGTGAAACTACAATAGATGTTAGTTTAAGGTGATCTCTAATAAATGTAATGTAACATACCTCAGCCGCTGCCCGAGAGGCTATAGAAACGACTGAGGTATTCCTATACTAAACCCCCTACTACTTCTAGTCGGAGGTGCTACTCGCTACAGTATAATGACTCCTAGGAGAACAATGGTTACTCCATGAAGTGGTGGCTATGCTCTATGGAGAACAATGGCTGCTTCGGCAGAGACCGGGTTTATCCGGTTTTGTCATATCTGAGCTTTATAATGTGGGCAATATATAAAATAATTACAAACTTTATGCTTCTAAAGGCTTGCCCACTCCCAACTTGTTATGTCTAGGCCTGCAAGCCAGGTAATATCATGTGATAATCACCTATAGCCACATGATTCATACCAGTCACAGCTCAATCCAGTCACATGACATAATAATTCAGTGTGGTTACACAACTAGTTTTAGCCAAGACTGTGGCAACACTATATGTGAATCTGAACAAGCTGTTGAGGTAGAAATAACAAATGCTCATCTGAGACAGTGGTTTACTCTTCTTCTGTCTTTGATGGGCAGGACCTTCCTCCACATTCTTGCTATCCTATTGGACAGATGTTACTTGTACAGGTCTTTTCACTGTGTTAATTACTGGATAATTTCTCCTATCTTATTTGTTCGCAATTGAGGTCCATGGCTGCCATTTATAATGTTTCCTCTTTCCATTGTGCCATAAGACTTGTGCTTCTTGCTTTACTTTGAAATTATTCTTGTTCACAGATTTGTTTTGACAGCTTGATTTTATCATTTAAAGTGTTGCTACAACCTCATACTCATCCCCAAAATAACCTGCCCCCCATCTCAATGGATAAAGCATTACAAAACCAGCTCCATGCATTGCTCAGAGAATCCAAATAGCAAAGACACTCATATGCACTGCAGCAAGCACTAAATCTTCCTGAATGCAAACATTTTCCTTGGGTTGCTACTCAACAACAGAAGTCTGACATTATCCATGTGTGGCAAAGCCACTACACCTTTGATGCTTTTACAAGGAAGACTTGAGCCATTTGTGCTTGTAGGTTTGCCCCAATTCATATTCATATTGTCTATGCCTCCAAAATTGACTTTTCACTGTTGACTAACTTATTCCTCCCCTATCATGTTTTGCCGGACAATTATGACTATGCCTTATACGACAAGGCAATCTTGCACATCAAAGGCCTCCACACACCTTGGTTACCCAGTGATCTCAACATTTGTAGGAGTTGTTGGCACTGGTTGATTGAGAAGAAGAAGCAGCCATTAAATGTTACAATATACAATTTTTGGACTTCCAACTTTCAGTCTCCACTTCAACTTTCTTTCTCTTGTGGACACTTGTGCCATGTGGCACTTTTCTTTACTTTCAATCACCACTTGTATCTTCACTTTCTCTTGCTGCACTGCTTCCTCTTATTTTTAGATACAAACTCTCTCACATGATGGAGCTGGTTACAAGGGCTGCACACTATGATATTATCAGCCACCATCCTTAGTAACTGTATAGTACAATATGTACAAATACCCTGTAGTAGTATATATACCCTAATAGATCAAGAAGACTCCTCAGTGAGTCCTCCTGTTGTTTACCCACAACAAACTCGGTCCTACCCTAAGGGAGATTATCCTTTCCTTCACTCACCCTTCTCTGCTTGTTCTCATTGTGCACCAGAGTGTACAAACTTTTTTGTTACATTAGATGCATTAGCTAACTTTCAATATTGTGGCCACCACCATGTTCCTGCTACTGAATCTAATGCATTTTCTGCTGCTAGTATATAGTATATTTGACAAAAGTGTGGTATCTTGTGCATGTGCAACCATTCATTTGCATCTATTTATGGACAATACTTCATGCAGTGATCCTACTGCCTCTGAATGCTACATTTGGGGCAATATAGCCATGATCCCTTAAGGCTCGGTTCAATTGTGACAAGTATTGCCCCCTTTAGTGACCAGTAGAAAAATCAAGAACAGGATGAAGACAATAATATCCTAGGTGACATTTCTGATGACCATCCTCAGCCTATTCACTCTCATTCAAACACTGGAGAAGACAATGAAGCCTCTGGATCAAGATAGCAATCATGGTGGAGCCAACTCTCAGTCTTTGGATAATAACATAGTAAGTGTTCCTTCTCCTTTGTTTTAAGGCTTACCTATACTACATTTTTATAAGGTTGTTTAAAGTTCAACAACAATTACTTCCAGCTCAGGATCAACTTCACATAGTTCTAGTCCTAGCATTTTACGTCTCTCCATCAAACCATCATCCTCCAAGACTAAGCTAAGTTCTATAGCTTGCTCAACTTTGAGATATATTGCTAGTCTTGGTCACAAAGCTATGAGGACATACACCATCACTCAAAATGGCCTTTCCAAACCCTCTCAATCATTCATCTATCTGCTGGGACTTATTAGTTAAAGCTACCAGTAAAAACAAATCTACTACCTCCTTGGCCAACAAAATGAAGATTTTATAGGATGACCAAGACTTGAAAGCTCAAGTATTGGAATGTGTGAGTACAACTTATTATAGCAAACATATATTAATTCCATTCAAGTTCCTCCTACATATCAAATCAAACAGTTCCACAATAGAGAGGAGCTGGGAGATTTTATTCCATGGATGATCAACTCTGGTGCGTTAATCAATGCAAGTATAAACTTCAAGGTATTTTTTTGTCCTCATAAAAATATATACAATCTGATTTATTGTATAGGATAAAACATCTGACATTATGCAACCATGGAAAAACAACATCTTCAAAATGCTCTTTCAAAGTCAGTGGTGGGGACCTAAAGGTGAAATATGGTAAGAAAATCAACTAATGCCCCTGCACTTGCCCTGGTAGCATGCTCTGTAAGGTTTTTCTTACTCTTTTATTTGTAAATTTAATTGTATATTTAGGTTGAATGTGCTTTACTTGGCACTATCAACAATAAATTGGTAGAATTCTCTGAGAATTCATTTGCTCCAAGGTATGTACAATTTGTTTTCTGGTTATTTTATATATTTGCCTTATTTAATTCATAGATGGGAGCATTTGAATCTAATTCAAGAGTTCAGGGAGTGTTCCCCAACACATCTGGCAAGTGTGTTTGGTGATATTGAAGAGTTTGTATGGTAAATTGTTCACTCTAATTTTTTAATTTTCTTTTTCTTATATTTTATAGGGGCGGTCCCAGTACTTTGGCTTTATCTGAATCCTCTTATCCCATATTTGACTTCAATGATTTAGAGGAGGCAGCTATGTCTTTTAAGCAGTAATCTCATATACTTGTAGCTGTCATTTATATATTGCGCTTTTATAATTCATTGAAGTTTTAACTGTTTTTACATTTTGAAAATGAGTGGAAGTGAAATGCTCTGGATTGATCTAGTTAGCTTTGAATGGTATTTAGAGGAATTAGAGTCATTTATATCAATTCATTGCAAGGCCTTATACAGCTGGGGTGACTTTGATATATTTGACTTTTTATGCTATAGGCAATTCCTATATGCTATAAGCCTGCACATTTTTGCATCTGGTGCACTATAGCAAGGGACTTTGTAAGATTTGCATTTACAGATCTGAACAGATCTGAGTGATATTTTTGCTATAATAGCATATTTTTTGTATTTCTTTGCATTTATAGCCACATTATGTTTTCCTGATAAAGTATGAGAATATGTGGTGAAAATGTATGGCAGACTAGAAATCTGGTGCAGCAAAATCAGAGCAGATATCTGGAGTACCATGTGGGGGTGAGGTATAGGACTATACCAAATGATATTCAGAGGGGACTGAGGATAGATCTGACAAATTATGACATTTGTTTATAGTATGAGAAAACATGCATTGGCCAGGGCTTGAACCTGGGACTCCAGCTTTCATGGTCTGGTGCTTTACCAAATAAGCTACCAAGGCGTATTTGAAAAGCATACTGATTGGTTGCATGCCCAGAAGGTCCAGAATCACTGTACACGGGTGTGGATCCCATTGTGTTGTGATAAGATCCACAACTTCCAGGGCAACAGAGGAGGCCCAGGATAATTGCATAGTGAATTGGGTGGATCCTTCAGGTTTACAAGCTTGGTGGAAGGGGACTGCGTTTACAAGGGATATGTAGCCATGAGGTAAGAGATCAGAGTTGATGTTGGTTGGGCATTCAAAGTCTCCGGAGTACAGAATGAGATAGTGTTTAGTACCCTGTTAATTGATGGATTGTAGCAGGTGAGCTAATTATATCCCAGAACTGCAGAGCAGGATAAATCCAATGAGGTGACATATATAATTGCTGCAGTGGCATAAGCTTTTGCAGTGCTGGAGGAGGATTTAGGACACAACTTTGCATTGTGACCGGCTTGTCCGCAGAACAGACAAAAATTGTTGTTAAAACAGTGTTTGTATTCTTCCAGAGTGAGTTTACCTTCCTTGCCCAGGTTATTGGTCAAATTTAGAGTTTTTGGAGCAGGCAAGTGATGGGAGTAGGAATAGAAAGAGGAGTTTCTGTGGGGTGTAGGTTTTGCGGAAGTCAAGGAGGACTACTTGGAGGAGGAGGATGTGGTATTGGTGTTAGATGAGGACTCGGGCTGGGTAGTAGTTTCCCTACTGAATCCACTGCATTGTTCCCAATAATGAGAGTTAATGGCTTGAGTGAGGATTTGTAACTCCACAAGGGTGTCCAGTTTTCTGATGCAGGAGATATTGTCCTTAATCCTTGAAGGGAATCCCTTGTAGAACTGATGACAGAGTGTGCCTTCATCCCACCCCCGGATTTGGGATGCAAGACAGTTGAATTTAACCATGTACTTGTTCAGACATTGGTTTTCATGCATCTGGAGGTGTTCAATCTGGGACTCCACATCTTTGGTGGGATTGTGAAGCCCAAAGTTGGAGCAGAGTTCAGAGAGGAACTCAGAGTAATTGTCCATCCAGATGGGAATAGTGGCAAGATTGTCTGGGTCAGGATATCAGGTTCAAACCAATCCAACATCATTCCCTTAAGGAAGGAAATAATATAGTTGATTTTTGCCCGGTCAGTATGGAATGTGCCTGGACAGTTGTTAAAGTTCAGTTGACACTGCACAATGAAGGAGTGAAGGTTCCTGGGATCAGAGCCATTGAGAGTGTCTGGCTCTCCAATCTTAGTATGTGCAGAACCACAGTGGGAGTTGTGTCTGAAGGATTTGACAAACAAGGTAATTGCCTGGGCCAGAGTGAGATTGTTGGTATCCTAATTCTCCAGCTCATTGCAAGGTAGCTCAGCAGGAGTGAGCATCAGAGAGTCTGGAGCTGGGGTCAGGGCACAAGGAGAGTTGGGAGGGATTGGGGAACCCCTGGGGGTATGGGGTAAGTCGGACATTGGGAGGTCATGAAGATAGATGGATTGCGCCTCTAGAGGTCGACAAGTAGAAAAACTGTGAAATTCAGTGTTGCCCTATGAGGTATTACATACGTGTTTGACCATGGGAGAAATATAGAGTGTCTGGGAAGTGTCAGTTCAAATATACTGTCAAAACCATGACCTTTAGAGTGATTGGAGTTTGGAGTATAAAAATGGGGTGGGGAGCAGAACGGAGTACAAGATTGGGAGCTGATTTAGCTCATGCGCTAGGCCCTTTTGCGGACCTTGGTCCCTAACTTGACAGAGTGAATAGGTGAGATTAAAGGATGAAAGGTGGAGAGGAGTAAAGGTCCTTCGTAGAAGGACTGGAAAACTTAAAAGAAGACTTTGGATAAAGGTGGGGGGAACTAGTTGATATTTGAACTGCAGGAACGGAGTACAGGAACTACAGCTTATATACTATCAGAGGGATTAGAGTTCATAAGGAGTAATTTGTAATGTAGGTACATAATATCCTCATGGATCCTGTAGTTTAAACCTTATAGTACACTCCCCTCACATACAATTTCCCTTCACTAGAATATTAGAATATGTGGAGAAAATGTATGGCGGACTAGAAGTCTGGTGCAGGAGAATCAGAGTGGATACACTGAGCAACAAAACTGTCTCAATATTAGCAATGTTTTAATTGTTGAGTGAATAACTTGTGCACTATCGATGCTAGACCCCTAAACCCACATATTATTAGATAGCCCTAATTGAGGGCCTTCTTACTGTATATACATTGCTGAAGTAATTCTTGTTATATCAGTCAATATTCACACATTGATCCGCTATACTTATTGGGACAGTTTTGTCGCTTATAGTAAGGGTATCAGAAATCAGTATGAAGTGTATCCTCTTTTGGCCTTGATGACCTCCTAAATCCTCCTAGGCATACTTTTGATCAATACCTGACACTCCTCCACCCCAATCTTCTCCCACTCTGTCTGCACTCTTTCCAAAAACTCCACTATACCTGAAGGGGGCTCTGGATGCTTAGCCAGCCTTCTTTGAGTAAGAACCATAGATATTCTATGGGGTTAAAGTGTGGAGACTAAGCTAGCCATACCATAATCTCATATCTATGATCAACAAACTACTGCTTAGCCCTTCTGCTAGTATGCTTGGGGTCATTATCCTGTTGAAAGATAATATCATCAGGGGATAACCCATAATATTGGAAAGTTTGTTGCAACTTGTCCTCTAAAATCTGTGTGTAGAGTTCAGCATCCATCCTACCATCAATTTTGCAAGCCATTCCAACCCCTTCCCAAGTCATACACCCCCATATCATCAAAAATCCTCCTCCAAACTTAACTGTCTTTTGCACTAGTCTATCACTCAACCCTTCTCCTGCCTTTTTCTATGCTCATCTCTTCCTATTTAACCCAATGCAATTAATTTTGGCCTCTTCTGACTATATAACCCACTTCTAATCCTCAACAGTCCAGCCCTGGTGACTCAAAGCAAAGTCCATCCTAGCAGTCTTGTGACGCTTAGAGAGGAGAGGACACTTTTTCTTCACCACAGCCTTCATGCCAGCTTTTCTGAGGTGATGACAAACAGTCCGAAGGGAGATAGACTTGTTTTTTTGTGACTTGAAGTGTTTTGGTAACCCAAACAGTTTTACAATCTGCTTCACTCTTAGATCACATTTGACTCTAAAGTTATGCTACCATCCATCTTTATGGTCTTTCATCGTTGACAGGGATTGTTTATAGTATCTTAGTATGATAGGGTTTAATATACATTTTTTAAGGCTTAAATTCTCTTGTTGCTCTGACAAGAGAGTTTTTAGATTAACTATTGTTGAATCAATATCATTCAATAGAAAGATGAGTGTTGGCTGAACATTATCTATCCTCCCTCTCACTTTTATTATTCCTTCATCAGTACGATCAGTGCTCTCATCACCATAGATAACCTTCTCCTAGTAGCTTCAACCCAAAAGTTTATAGATACTATAAATGTCAAACTTTTTTGTAAACCTTTTTTGACTAGTTAACTAAATACATTGAGTATTACTCTACTTGAATGCATATTTAGAATGTAAGACAAAAGAAAACAAAGTACATCTTTAGAATAGAAATTTGATATGATTGTTCAAACAAAAGTATTTCTCTCCTGCAATATCAGTACATTGATATAGTTCTAGAATACACTGGAATGAAAAATTGCACACAAATATAGACTTTAATAGCTCATAGTTTGTTATTTCTTAGAAAAGTTCTAGAGGAAGATGCTGCTTAACATGAGATGCAAATTGAAGAACATTAAATATTATATCTACCACTTATATGCTTCCTTATATAGACCATGCTCAGAACTTGCCCACATATTGGCCTTCTAAATTCTGCATGGTTCTTCCTACTGGTCTTCCCTACTTTGCATAGCTCCCCCCACCAGTCTTTCTTATCCTGCATGGTAAACACCATTGTGTTTCTCCCTCCTTTATGGTTCCCCGTAATGGCCTTCCCTATCCTATATGGTTCTCCCCACTAGTCTTCTCTGTATGGTATGGCTCTCCCTACTGGTCTTCCCCATTCTGTATAGTTTTCCCTATTAGTTTTCCCCCTTCTCTTTGGTTCCCCCCAGTGATCTTCCCCATTCTGTATAGTTCTCTTCATTTATTGCTGTATAGTCAACCTCACAAGTTTTTACCCCTCTTTGTAGTTCCCCTTAATGGCTTCCCTATCCTGTATAGTTCTCTCTATTGTTTTTCCCCATCCTATGCAATTCTCCCCATTGGTTTGCTCCATGCTAGATCTTTCCTATCCTGTGTGGCTTTCCCTAGTCTTCCCCGTTTTGTACAGTTCTTCCCACTGGTTTTCCCCATCCTATTGATAAAATTGGATAATGACCAGACCAGGGATTGAACCTGGAACATTCTGGATACATGCCAGCTGCTCTACCAATTGAGCTATATGGCTAAGGTTATACAATGTAGGATCTTAAACATGACATGCAACCACAAACAACTTACACAGAATAGCTGCTGCATACTGGGCTGGCTTACAAATCAGAGGTATTATCCTATTGAGTATTGGTATGTCAGAGTATATTCTAACACCTATATGGTTCTCCCCATTGGTTTGCCCCATTCTAGGACTTCTCTATCTTGTATAGCTCTCCCTACTGGTCTTTTCCCTCCTTTGTGGTTCTCCCCAATAGCCTTCCCTATCTTGAATGGCTCCCCCCATTAGTTTTCCCCATCTTGCATTACCCTTTCCCATTTTGCATGATTCTATCACAACACACAATGAGATCCGTGTTAGTTTTGGTGATTCTGCACCTAGTTGTGCTATCGATTTTCCCTTCTTTCTAAATCACTTTCCTCTTTATTCTTTTTGCTGTATTGTTCAGTATTCACTGAGCATTCTATAATTTCGCCTTTGTGGCTGATTTGTTTACCTTTGTTTACAAAACTTTGGACTAGTATTGCAGAATCCAGTATTCCTATTTTTTAGTTACTCATACTGGACTCTAGGTACTGTACACATTCTGTACTCTCTGATAATATAGTTACTCATACTGGACTCTAGTTCTGTCCCTGTTAGCTCTCAGCAAGTGGCTAGACACTTCCCAGAAGTTCTCAATTGAACAATCCGCACCCGTGTACAGTGATTCTAGACCTTCTGGGCATGCAACCAATCAGTATGCTATGCTTTCCAAGTACGCCTTGGTAGCTTAGTTGGTAAAGCACCAGATCATGAAAGCTGGAGTCCCAGGTTCAAGCCCTGGCCAATGCATGTTTTCTCATACTATAAAAAAATGTCATAATTTGTCAGGTTCTCCCTATTGGTCTTCTCCATCTTGCATGACTCCCCCCACTAATCTTCTTACTGTAATTAGCCACTTTACTGACAAGATAGGCCATCGAAAGATTATAGAAAATGCTGAAAAGACACAAAACAGAGAATCAGCTCTGACAGCCAAGGCTAAAATCAAAATAAAGAAGGAACTTACTTGCTACAATTGTGGCAAGTTCAGCCATATCACAAGGAACTGCTAAAAACCTAAAAAAGAAAAGAACAAAAACAATTAGAAAAAAGACAAGGCAAAAGGAATGCTATTTGCCTTGAAAGAATAAGGGTTGACAGTAAAATTGGTAACCAGGCTTATTTAGAGTCTCAACAATTTTCTCAAAAATATACAGGTGAACCATCAGTTCACATTTGATTTACTCACGATGCCTATCATTTCTATTTTTTCTATTTTTTCTATCTTTCCTATTCTGTCTATTCATTCTGTTCTTTCTATTCTATCATATCTGTGCTGCAGGCCAGAAAACCCAAGCCTCCCAAATAACCAGAGTTTCTAAATCTCCTGGATTAACATTCCTCGTACTCTGCCATTCAGCACGTCCTCATACCCCACTTCCATACAATATTCCAAAACCTTCAGGCCTCCCACATTTATATCCCTTGTGCTCTGCTGCTTTGGACTTTTTGTCTGCCATATGTTTTCTCCGCACATTCTTATATTCCTCATAGACTCTGTAGTTTAGACCTATTAATACACTCCTCTCACATACAATTTCTCTTTGGTAGACAATTGTCTGCACCTCTGTACCTACATTATGATTTACTCCTTACAAACTCCATTGCCTTCAATGGTATATAAGTTGTGACTCCTGTAATCTATTCCTGCAGTTCAAATATCAACTAATTTCCCTACTTTTTTTTACCAAGTCTCTTCTTAAAGTTATTCTGGCCCTTCTCCAAAGGGCCTTTACTTTATTCCTGTTGTATCCTCAATTTTTCCCCCATTCACTTCATCATTGAGTGAGGGACCAAGGTCCACAGAAGAGTCTAGTGCACAAGCTAGGCATCTATCCTCCAACAACTCCAAATGTCACAGTTCTGGCATATTCTTTCCATTCTTTCCATTCCTCCTGTTTCTCCCATTCTTTCTATTGTAATATACTAAAAACATCTGAAAAACATTTTATTGGCCTCTTCTGTATAATATAAAAAATAATGCAAACAACATAGTGTTATTTGTTCTTGAAAAATCATTCAAAATATTTTTCAAAATATATGTCCCAAAACCATAGAAAAAATATACTGAATCTATTTCTTAATACTTTGCAGAAAGTCATTATAAAAAATTAAATATATGTTATTTGGATATATTTCTAATGCTTTCTCAGATATAACATAGCTAATAAATAACCAGCAACAAACATTTTATATAATATTTCTATATTTTGCTGGAATATATTCTATTATAGTGAAGGTAGACATCCTAAAAAATATTATAAGACACATGTTGAATATATGTGATATCTTGAGGAAACCCATTGGGAAATTTATAAGGAATATATCCCCAAAAAATGTCTAATATATTTTTTCCAAGTGTTGCAGCAAAACATTTTAATAACCAATAAATTGTGTCTTGAAAAAACATATTAGAAAAACCAAATAAACATGTTGGATACTTTTTCCATATTGTGTAGGAGATGATGCAAATAATATTTTGCAGCTACTTCTTGATAATACATTAAAATTATCTATCACAATGTAGATCCAAAAAACATGGTAAAAAACAAAGTCTCATTTTTTTCAATGTTTTTTTTCAATATTTGGTGACACAACATGAGCAGATGCCCCCAGTGAGAGTAGTTTGACATGTTGTCTCTTATAATACAAGGTAAACCATTAGAAAAATTTTCATTGATTTCCTGATGTAGGTTAAAAGCCCTGGTAACACAAAAGCTACACAGGAAATAATTTTCAACAAGAGAAGGAAAAGGCAAATACAGTGGAGCAATCATCTAGATCTAACTCCAAGGAGAAACAGAGTCATATTATATTACAACATGTATATATTTCCAAGCCCCTTGCTAAACAGATTTAAGCTTACCTTGTATCAGAATCTGATAAGACCAAAACAACAATCATCATTGACTCTGGAGCAACATCCCACATGGTCCCTCACTGCTCCTATTTTAAGCAAGGAATATACCATGTTGTGAACCCTCCAAGGAACATCAGTTTTTGGGGATGAATCCTCTGTAAATGCTATTGGAATTGGAATAGTGATCCTACAAGTGACTGTTGCCAAAAAAGACTACAAAATTGCATTGTCAAATGTTTTACTTGTGCCAAACTTCACTTTAGCACCTGTTTCTGTCCACAAATTGTCTAAAACGGGGTTATCAAGACATTTTCCAGCAGGTTCCAATGCTTGTGAAGTTTGGAAAAAGAAAGAACTCATCCTCACTGCCTTATACAAGTGAGGACTGTATCACATCCAAGCAAAACCCAAAATCAACCTGGAGTCAGCTTTTGCAGCAGTGGACATAAATTTATTGCACAGGAGAATGGGACACATTGGAATGAATTGCTTACAACAAATGGTTACAAAAAGACAGCTCCAGAACATAGAAACCCTTATAGGGAGGCTTTCTGATACTGGATTATCATTGTAGATAATTTTTCCAAGTTTTCATGGATATATTTTCTGAAACACAAAAGTGAAGTACTGGAACAATACAAGCAATGGGAAAAAGATGTCCAAACATTTTTCCGAACTCATTTGGGAAAAAAAAACTTCACTCCACTGTACACAGAATTCCTCTGGAGCGATAGGGGAGGAGAATTCACTGATTATGCATTCAAAAAACAACTCCAAGAAGATGGTGCCCTCCAAGAAACCACAGCTGCAGATACCCTAGAACAAAATGGCAGTGCAGAATGCATGAGTCAGATATTGGTTATATTAGTCACCACTATGCTCCATGATTCCAAGCTCCCAAAGTCCTTCTGGGTAGATGCCATGCAAACGGCTGCATATACCACAGCATGCAGCCCAGCATCAGGACTCCATGGAAAGACCCCATATGGATTACTGTTTAAAAGGAGGGTTGATCCAACTTTATTTTGCCCTTTCGGATGCCAAGAATATGCCTTGATTCCAAAAGACAAACAGCAAGGGAAGTTCTACTCCAAGGGGAAAAAAGCCACAATGATTGGCTATACACATGGAAAGTCAGCTTACAAACTCCTGAAACACAGACCCTAGCGCAGATTAGTGGGAGGGACTCATTCCAGAGAACACTCACTATCTGGACCAAAACAATGGAGGAGGATGACCCTGACCCTTGGATCCCAGATCCCAATGAATTGCAAATGGAACCACACCTCTGAGGAGATATTCCACAAACAATAGAACCATATCTGCAAGGAATCATTCCAAGGGCAGTGGGGAAATACCTCTATGGAGATGTTCCGAGAGCAGTAAGAGCACCTGAGCAGCTTAGACACCCTCAATAACAGTCTCTAAAACCAAGACCCAAATACTGGCCATCTTCAGAACAGAAACCCAAAGTAGAGTCACAGTCAGTGGGAGGACAGCTCCTCATCATACAGCCAGCTGATGTGGAGGAAGTCTGAAAACAGCTAGGCAGCCTGTCCATTGGATCAGTTCCTGGAAGGCATACAGCACCTCCGAGGAGGCATCAAACACCTTCAGGAGTGAGTGGGACAACTCACACACAAATGTGTCTATTCCCCGGAGTTCCTGCACAAATTCCTCAAAGAGCAGTCATGCCTGCTGAAGTCATAGGAGTATACAGAAGCAGTTGCCAGACTTGTCCTGCAGGCAAAATCAAAGGACTCTAAATAAGGAACAGTCTCAGAAAGAGCAGAACAACAACTCCATGGAGAAACCTACTTACTCCTGAGTTTTCCGAAGAAACATTGGACACAGAGGAAACATGCTTTGCTGGAATAGCAAGCACTGGTCCATCTAACACAGACCTTCCAAGGACACTAAAGGAAGCCTTGTCACGCCCAGATGGAGAATTATGGAAGTCTGCCTTGGAGGAGAAACTCCTAAATCTCAATACAAATGCAGTATATGACACTGTCCCACTTCCAAAAAGAGTAAAACCTATCACATCAAATCCTGTGTTCCAGATCAAGTTTGATCAAAACAGAAACATTGAGAGATGCAAAGTCTGGATTGTTGCACAAGGTTTTACTCAAAGGGAGAGAATTGATTACCAGAAGGTTTTTGCTCCAATTGCAAACTTAGAGTCAATCCAAATTATTCTAGCCCCTGGCAGCAAAGTATGACCTAGAACTTGATCAAATGGATATATCCACAGCTTATCTCAATGGTGAACTTGAAGAAAAACTGTACATGCTTCCTCCAGGGGGTGTTTCTATCCAACTTGTATACTGCTGGAGGACCAATAGATCCATTTATGGATTAAAACAAGGTGGTCGTACATGTAAAAAAACCTTTGATTGCAAGCTCCAGGAGCTCAGTTTCACAAGACTACATGCAGAAACATGTCTCTGTTACGATACACAATTTTTGGACCTTTAACTTTCATTCTCCTCTTTAACTTTCTTCTGTAGTTTTCACACACTGTGCCAGACAGCACTTCCTTTTGTTTAAACTCCACTTTCTCACGCTACACTGCTTTTCTTTATTCTTAGCTACAAGTCTCTCACACAAATGGAGCTGGTCACACAGGCTGTGCCCTATGACATCATCAGCCACTGCTTCTATCAACTGTATAGCATACATGTACAAACAAACCTGTAGTAGTATATATACCCCAATAGATCAAGAAGACTTCTCAGCAAGTCCTCCTGTTGTTTACCCATCACAAACTTGGTCCTATCCAAAGGGTAATCACTCACCTCACTTCTTTATAGCTTTGTCTGAAGTTGTGTGCCAGAGTATACAAACTCTTGGTTGTAATAGTCTCTATGTATTCTGGAACAACACACAAATATGCTTTGTTGTTGCCTATGTAGATGACCTCCTCCTAGGAGCTTCATCCCGAAAATTCATGGATATTATAAAAGCCACACTTGAATCCATATTCACAATGTGGAATCTTGGAGAAGCAAAATACATTCTCAGAATAGAAATCTGATGTGATTGTTCAAACAAAATAATCTCCCTATTACAACACCAAAATATTGACACAGTCCTGGAGCGTACTAGTATGAAAAAACTCCAAACCAGTATGAACACCAATGGTCTATGGATCAAAACATCTCGCAAATGCTCTAGGGGAAAATATTGGGCGTCAAGTGTCATACCTCTCAATTGTAGGCTCCCTCATATATGCCATGCTCGGAACCTGCCCAGACATTGCCTACGTTGTTGGAATACTAAGCAGACATAGCTCAGCTTCCCAGTGATGGCTCCTTGGAGCTGCAAAATGTGTCCTCCGATATCTGAAAGCAACCAGGGACATGGAACTACAATATGATGGCACAGATGTCTCCAGATTGAGCAATGCTGGACAACACCTTGCATGGCTTCGGACATTTTTTGAAGAAAATTGGACATGCTCAAAATGGACCTACAACACTGCACTGTGACAATCAAGCAGCTATCATTCTTACACGAGATCCACAGTTCTGTGCTCGCACAAAACACATTCAACGGAGATATCATTTTATCCAAGATGACTTAGTATCAAAGGGAGAGGCAGTGATCAGATATGTTCCTACAGGAGATATGGTTGCAGACATTCTCACTAAACCCCTCACTCATGAAAAACACTGGGAATTTCTTAAAGCTATGAGACTATGGCTGCACTCGAGTGGGAGTGACAAAACTGGATAAACCCAGCCTCTGCTAGCAGCCATTGTTCTCCATGGAGCATAAGGAACAACATCTACTGTGATGAAGGTATATCTACCACAGCGACAAAAATATCCCAAGCACTTGAAAGTGTAATCTGTGGGTACTTTAGCTCAGCTAGCACATTATCCGCCATTGCTGTAAACTCAGCATCAACAAAACAGAATGCTTTTTCTCGGTAATCCTGACCACCAAGGTTGTCTCATAGTTGTTTTACCAGGTCTGGATTGACAGTGACTGAGCAATCCTTTGCAGTAACTTGAACAGAGTCCGGTGCAAGCCACATGTGTCGTGATGATGTTCCACTTGGCAGGAGCTTTTTTTTTACATATTAGGCTCAACTGAGTGCGAGTGAACAATGGACTTCCGGCTATTCCTACATGATAGACTACCCCTATTGTGAGGTATTGACGTAATAGAAGTGACGTCACGATACCATCCAGTATATTCATTACCTTTTTGGATATCACGGACGTTCAAAATGAAGGCGTGTTTCGTTCAATATATAAAGCGCGTTACTCACCCACCCTCGTTTTTAGAACCCACTCCTGACTCATCGCGACAGCCTCTCCGAAAGGAAAGAGCCCCATATATAAAAGGTCTGTCCCATCTGCATTCTTTCAGTCCACTGGCCTCCCTCTTATCCACTATGCAAACCGACTATTTCCCCTCGTCTGTCGCTGATCATGAAAAGTTATCAGCTTCAATGGCTGCTGCCCCAGCTGAAAACCCCAACGGCAATGCAGGCCGCGACTTATCAACAGCTCACGTCCAAGGTGCTCCTGCCATGTCCGGTGCACCATCTCGTGTCACATTGCACCTAGGCCATTTGCCAAGTAAGAAGGATATAAAAGTTCCTTGGCCGCGGACACCATCCAGGGTACGTTTCTTTTTCATTGTAACTCGCTCCCTTCCACAACAACTCGCATATAATTCACTATACAGGTTGATCCCAACAATCCTCCGTGGCCCGCTTATCGCGGGTACCACGAATACTCGTTTGCACATGCCACAATGGGTGTTCGCCTCCCGACCATCCTAGGCAAGGCCATAGATGACGCCTCACGCACTCTTAATGAGCAGTCAGCGGAAGATAAGATTGTTGACCTCGTGCAGTGTATCGAGCGCATGGATAACCTCATGTCTGACCTTAGTGGAAATGCGAAATTAAGGCCAATCATAGATGATGGCGAAGGTGACGTTGCCCTGTGGAACAAGGAAATAGCGAAATATTTCCAGGGTCGGTGATCACTTTACGTTCAGGTGGAAATAAAACACTAATATCTTCGCTAGGGAAGGATTTTATGAATGCACCTTGGTTGTTTGCGGAGGCATACAAATACCGTCGACTCCATGAGTGCTTCAGTGTTAGTAAGTACTGGAGTGATTATGATGTATTCTATCGTCAAAAAGTTCGTTTTTCTTCGTGACAAATTAGCATATATTCTCACCTAATTTCTGTAGTGTGACACATTTTCGCGCTCTTCTGATGCTGTATTTGAGCTTTCGATGCGTTTTGCCGAGCCTTTTCAGCAAACTAAAAATGTTTCAGATGAAGAAAAAACGGAAACAGAGCGTTTAATGTTTCTGGAGCTCACGCAAGGTGTGTTCTTGATCTTTTTATTCAATTTGACGCTTCAATATGATAACCATTCTCCTATGTAGTGTGCCTATGGGGAAATTCAACCGATCTCTCGCTCCTGATCAACATGACGGAAGAGCAGATAAAGTTGCTGCAATCGACAGGCGGGGATCACCTTGCTGCTACAGAAAAAAATATTCTGGGAAACCACCTCAATAAACTTTGGGACACTGTGAAAACCCTCCGTGAAAAGACTGGTGGAAGGGTCGATTTTGTCCTCGACAATGCTGGGTTCGAGTTGTACTGCGACTGTGTTTACGGTGTGTAAATCTTTTGATGCTACTCCCAGACGACCATTGTCCGGGACTGATCACAATTTCGAAAGCGGACTTTTTGATTCAAAGTGGCCTAGCGAAACAAATCAGATTTCATGGGAAGCGTTATCCGTGGTTCGTTTCGGATGTAACAAAGAAAGACTGGGAATGGCTGCTCAACACGATAGTGTACGGACATCTCTTTCCAGAAACTTCTGAAGCAGAGAGAGAGTCATTAAGAAGCCTTGGGGCCCGTTGGAAGGTGCCTGTCTTCGTTAATGCTTTGATCGCTGAACCTTATTCCATGTAGCAATATGAAAATGACGGTAGGTGGGTATATGAACAGCACCCGTTTTGGTGTACTGGGTACACCTTCTGGGATTTGCACAGCGAAGCACCAGATCTTTTCCTGCATCTCTCGCGTTCAGATCTTGTCATTTTTAAAGGCGACTTGAATCACCGCAAATTAACTTACGATTGTGCTGCCCCCGCAAGTACACCATTTGAGATCGCGATCGGCCCAATGGCAAGCGCGGCGGGTGCACCTAAAGTGTGCAGCCTGAGAACAATCAAGAGTGACGTCGTCGTTGGCCTGGGAGATACTGGAGATGAAATAGCGGAAAAACTAGACAAAGAAGAGCCCGGCTGGAAAATTAGTGGGAAATACGTGCGTGCTCTTCATGGATTGGGTATGCACGAGAATATTGACATAATAATTGTACAGGCTATTGTCCTTCTTTCACATGGCCGTCCAGGGGAAAATGTGCGCTTTGCTTAATGGGTATCGTTGCCGTTGTGTACTTCAAACTCACATCGCCCCTATTATTGTGTGGGAGATCACTTCACCCCTTTTCACCGTAGAGGGACATCATCGAATGGACTATCTTTTTAATCGCCATATCATGCCAACCATTCCTTCTTTGGCTACTTTTGCAAAGTGTTAGCGTATTTCATGGCTTTTATTAGTATCCTTCTCCAACTCTTTTTATGGTTGTTTTGCATTACTATATTACTGTAGAGTTATAAAGTTAGTTTGTCACATGTGAGGTTATGAGAAGACTAAAAGGTCTGAGTATATAATGTAAATATGAAGATATAATGTGAGCTGTGACAAAACTGGATAAACCCGGTCTCTGCCGAAGCAGCCATTGTTCTCCATGGAGCATAGCCACCACTCCATGGAGTAACCATTGTTCTTCTAGGGGCACAATTGTACTCCTAGGAGTCATTATACTGTAGCAAGTAGCACCTCCAACTATAAGTAGTAGGGGGTTTAGTATAGGAATACCTCAGTCGTTTGTATAGCCTCTTGGGCAGCCTTCTATTCATTCCAGCAACTCACCAAAATGTCCTGGGATGGGACATCACCTATCCAGGACCACATTGCAAAAATCCAGACAATTGATTCACACCTCTCTGGAATGAAACTAGGAGTTGATACCAAACTTATTGCCTTCACTCTTCTCCAATCTCTCCCATGCACTGCGGAATGGCAAATATTTTAGTCATCGGTAATCAACACGATTGAAGAAAATAAACTTACCTTTGATGCAGTTGAGATCCGGATCACTGCAGAAGTTGCACAACAGTCAGGGAAGGCCCCTGGAGGTTCTGAATCAGCACTCAAATCCGAGGAGAAATGGTGTAACTTCCACAAAGCCAAATCACACAACACCTCGGAGTGTCAAACACTTCAGTCAGTTAAAAAAGGTCAAAGGAAGAAGAAAAAGGAAAGACACAAGGATAAAGGAAAAGAGAAGGAAAAGGCAAATATGGCGGAGCAATCATCTGGATCTGACTCCAAGGAGGAACAGAGTCATATTGCATTGGAACATGTACATATTTCCAAGCCCCTTGCTAAACGCATTCAAGCTTACCTTGTGTCGGAACCCAATAAGACCAAAACAACAATCATCATTGACTCCGGAGCAACATCCCACATGGTCCCTCACCGCTCCTGGTTTGAGCCAGGAACATACCATGTTCTGCATCCTCCGAGGACAATCAGTTTTGGGGATGAATCCTCTGTAAATGCTATTGGCATTGGAACAGTAATCCTACAAGCAACTGTTGGCAAAAAGGACTACAATATTGCACTGTCAAATGTCTTACTTGTGCCAAACTTCACGTTAGCACTTGTCTCTGTGCACAAATTGTCCAAAACGGGGTTATCAACACTTTTTCCAGCAGGGTCAAATGCTTGTGAAGTTCGGAAAAAGGAGGAACTTATCCTCACTGCGTTACACAAGCGAGGACTTTATCACATCCAAGCAAAACCCGAAATCAACCCGGAGTCAGCTTTTGCAGCAGTAGATGTAAATTTATTGCACAGGAGAATGGGACACATTGGAATGGACCGCTTGCAACGAATGGTTACAAAAAGACAGCTCCAGGACATAGACACCCTTACCGGAACCCCGGAGTTTTGTGAACCTTGTGCTTTAGGAAAGATGAAGAAATTACCTTTCAAGTCCACTGGAGGAAACCGAGCCAAGTGCTCCATACAAATTGTGCACACAGATGTTGGAGGACCAATCAAACCAACTTCCAGGGAGGGTTTTCGGTACTGGATTATCATTGTAGATGATTTCTCCAAATTTCTATGGATATCTTTCCTAAAACATAAAAGTGAAGCACTGGAACGATACAAGCAATGGAAAGAAGATGTCCAAACATTCTTCCGGACTCATTTGGGAGAAGAAAACTTCACTCCACTATACACAGAATTCCTCCGGAGCGATGGGGGAGGAGAACATACTGGCAATGCATTCAAAAATCAACTCCGACGAGATGGTGTCATCCAAGAAACTACAGCTGCAGATACTCCGGAACAAAATGGCATTGCAGAACGCATGAATCAGACATTGGCTACATTAGCAACCACTATGCTCCATGATTCCAGTCATTTTGGGTAGATGCCATGCAAACAGCTGCATATATCACAGCATGCAGCCCAGCATCAGGACTCCATGGAAAGACCCCATATGAAATACTGTTTAAAAGGAGAGTTGATCCAACTTTGTTTCGCCCTTTAGGATGCCAAACATATGCCTTGATTCCGAAAGACAAAAGGCAAGGGAAGTTTTACTCCAAGGGGTGCAAAGCCATAATGATTGGCTACACACATGGAAAGCAAGCCTACAAACTCCTAGACACTGAAAAACGGACTGTGTTTTCCAGTCGGCATGTCATATTCAATGAATCCGGAAAGGTACAAAAGGATGACACTGCTCCCTGAAACACAGACACTAGCACAGATCAGTGGGAGGGACTCATTCCAGAGAATGCTCACTATCCAGACCAAAAATCATTGGAGGATGATCCTGACCCTTGGATCCAAGATCCAAATGAATTGCAAATGGAACCACATCTCCAAGGAGATATTCCACAAGCAACGGAACCATATCAGCATGAAGATGTTCCGAGAGCAGTAGGGCAATACCTCCGTGGAGAGCTAAGACACCCTCCACAAC